AGGCTTGGTATTGTGACTTGAAATTTTGTGGCTGTGAGAGAAATGTGCATCCCTGAAGTTTCAATGTCAGATATTGCTGTGTTTCTTGCACGGGCTTATGAAGTGTCAGGGGAAGTGTGTGTGGCACTGACAGAAGCTTTTTGCTTTTTTTTTTTGTGTTTTTAGAGGTAGAGAAGACAGAGGGAAGAGAAAGTGGTAGGTATTTTTGAAGGCTCTCAGCACTGCATGATCCTTCCTACTCCAGCCTCCTAGTTAGCTAGAACCACAGGTACACACAACCACCTGGCCTGTTTTGGATTGAGATAAGAACCAAACCAGAGGAATCTGTGTGGCCCCAGCCATCATGAAGCAACACTCTCCTGCTTGTACCACCATGGCTGGGCTTGTAGACAATTTACGAATCACTGGCTACTTCACCTTGACTCCTTTTCTCTCCACTGAAAGACTTCAGTGTGCCTGATAGCAATGGCTCCACTAGTCTGAGTCCCAGAGAGAGGACGATGTGAAGCAGAGCTGCAGCCAGCTTGCAAAGGGTGTGCAATATGAGCAGGAAATTATTTGTTGTTGTAAGTCACTAAGATTTATAGGTTATTTGTCACTGTAGCATAATTTAGCCTAAGCTGACTAGTATGTATATCACCCAATTGTATCATCAATAAGAATGCTTATAATGATAACCAAGTAGAAGTGAAAATGGAAAGACATATATTATACATTTTCAGTGATAAAAGAACATTATACTAAAGTCTAAATTTGACAAGACAGTTAATTATATGAAGAAAATTATAAAATATTATTAAAGGATACAAAACATGTCAATACACAAATACATGTAAACTAAACAACCTACTCCCAAATGACTTTCCAACTACTAAAGAAATTAAGACTGAAATCAAAAGATTAATTGAAACCAATGGTAATGAACACAGTACTCTCCATAACCTTTGGGACATAGCAGGAAAGCTGCTATGTGAGAAGCTGTGGGAAGCTGAAAGCCTTCCCACTAAAAACTGGAACAAGACAAGGCTGCCTACTTTCTCCTTTTCAACATAGTTCTAGAAGTCCTAGCTAACACAATCAGACAAGAGAGCAAAATAAAAGGCATTCAGATAGGAAAAAGAAGCTAAAGTGTCCCTATTTGCAGATGATATGATTATATACATAGAAAATCCAAAAGAATCCTTGAAAAAACTTAGAAATGATAAATGAATTCAGGAAAGTAGCAGGATACCAATATCAGTACACAAAAATCTATAGCATTTTAATACATCAACAATGAACAGATTAAGACAGAACTGTAAAAAGCAATCCCATTTACAATAACCACAAGATTCATAAGATACCTAGGAATAAACCTATCCAAAGAGGTGAAAGACCTTACAAGGAAAACTATGAAAAACTGAGAAAAGAAACTGAGTGTGATATAAAAAAATAGAAAGACATCCTGAATTCTCTGGTTGGAAGAATCAATATAATCAAAATGTCAGTTCTACCAAAATTAATTTATACATTCAATGTAGTTCTGATCCAGTTGCTGATGGCATTCTTCACAGAAATAGAAAAACAACTATACAAATAGTCTGGAATCATAAAAGGCCTTGTATCACCAAGGCAATACTGTGCAAAAAAGAATAAAATAGGAGGCATCTCACTATTTGACTTAAAAAAATTACAAAACAGCAATAATTAAAACAGCATGGTAATGGAACAAAAATAGGCACATAGATGAATGGAATAGAATATAGAATCTAGAAATAAACCCCAAATCATACAGTCTACTGATTTTGACAGAGGGCACAAGATGATGCAGTGAGAAAAATAAAGTATTTTCTATAATTAAATAAAAAGTCTCTTGTCATAAGGGAAATACAAATTAAAACTACTATAAGATGTCATCTAACCCCAGTTAGAATGGTTAGGTTAAAAAAAAATAAAAAAGAACAGTAAGCGTTGGTGAGGCTGTGGTGAAAAAAGAACTCTCTTACACTGTTGGTGGGAAATGTAAATTAGTACAAACTCTGAAAAAAAATATGGAGGTTCCTCAAAAATCTACAAATAGAACTACCATATGACCCAGTAACTCCACTCCTTGGTATTTACCCAAAGGACAGGAAAACACTCAGTCAGAAAGACATTTGCACAGTCATGTTTATGGCAACATTATTCATAATTGCTAAAACATGGAACTAACCTAAGTGCCCAAAAACTGAGGACTGAATTGGAAATTGTGGCATATATGTATGTGTGTGTGTGTGTGTGTGTGGACTATTACTCAGCTATAAGGAACAATGAGACTGGGGCCAGCAGGTGGCATGGGGGTTAAAGGTGCTGGATTCCCACATGGCCGACGGTGGTTCAAGTCCTGAATTTGGCACCTTGCTTTCTTGCTTTCTCTATCTCTCTTTCTGTGTCTCTGTCTTGTCAAATTGAAAAATAATAACAAATGGAATTAAACAAAAATAAATAATACTTAAAAAAAAAAGAAACAATGAGACCCTATCATTTGATTCAAAGTGGACAAATAAAGAAGACTTAATATTGAGTGAAGTGACTAAGACTTTAAAAGATACTGTATATCCCCACACAATTTGTACCAAATATCTGCACTCTCTGGGAGAAATGGAAAGATCTGAAGATAAGATAGTAGAGAAGATAAGAGTGCAGATACCAGGGACTGTAAGGGAGGGGGAGTAGATGGTTTAGAATAAGTGGTAGAGGTGAGTGGGAGGTATAAAAAGAACAAACATTTAAGAGACATAATAAAATATAAAGTTCTCTATTGAGAAAAAAATATATATAGTATACATCCTGATTGGGATTTTATGTAAAATGTGAAATTATTCTGGAAAAAAGTCCATTTTTTCAGAAGACATAAATTTAATGTAAAACTAATCGTAATTCCCATTAATCTTTTTAATTTGATGAAGACATTTTAAAATTCATGTGGAATAACAGAATTTACCTACAATATTGTTGCCAGGATTAAATCATCTAGAATATGTAAAGTGCCTAGGGCAATATTTGACACATATGTACATTCAATACACGTTAGCTAGCATGTTATTTGGAAAGTAATTAGGTCATCAGAATGGAGAGTATTGAAATGGGATTTTAAGATAGATATCTAGTGGAAAATAAAATTATACCCTGACTTAATCCATATCTAAAAATAAATTCCCTGTGTGTCTAAATATGTGAAAAATAAAAGACCATATATTTTAGAATAAAATGTAATAGAATACACTTTATACACAGGGAACTAAGGAAACATTTTCAAATGAAATAGTTAACCAGGAAGTTGTAAAAGAAAAGATAACTTTTAAAAAAATTGTAGTCAAAGATAACTATAAACAAAGAAAAATATTATAAAAGACTGTAGGAAATATTTTTTAATACATAAGACAAATTTTAACACCTATAGTCTACAATGAGTACTCAAAAAGTAAAACAAAAACTCACAGAAAAATGAATAAAGAATGTATGAATAGGTATTTCTATAAAAGCAAATCTGAATAGGAATTAACTGAAAAATGCTCAACTTTAATAGGAAGATGAAAACTAAAGTAACCATGAGATACCACTTCTCACCTATCAAGTCAACAAATTTATTGACAGAACTGTGAATTTAAACATTTTGAATAAATCTTACTTTTAAGAAAAAATACAATAATTCTTTATAAAAGGTTTTTTGAAGTTTATTTATTTCCATGAGAGAGACAGAGTAAGAGAGAGCAGAGAGTGAGAGAGAGCAGAGACTAGCATTTCCAAAGGGGTTCTCATGCCACTATACACCCCTAGTCTTAGTCAGTCCAAATTGTGAGCACACTTGTACCCAGTGTGCTCAGGGAGGTGAGCTATGAACCCAGAAACTTCCCATGTGGGTCCAGTTGTGTTGTCACAGCACTATCGCCTGTCCCCAAAATAATCATTTAATATATAGTGGTCAGGGACCAAGAGATGGAGTAATGGTTATGTTGCTGGACTCCCACATGGCCAACCGCAGTTCGAGTCCTAGCCCTGGTAGCTTGAAACTCACTCCAGACGCGCGCGTGTGTGTATGTGTGCCAAAAATCTTAAGAGGGGAATGGAGGAGAAAGAATTGCGTGTGGCCATCTCCCCAGGGGAGTGACTTCTCACTTTCTGTCTCTGTCTGTCCAGCAAGCATACGTGCCCTATAGCAAAATATATATATATATATGTGTGTACGTGTGTGTGTGTGTGCATAGACACACATATACAGTGGTCAACGAGGAAATTACATTGTGTAACAGTAGTAACAGTGAAATTATAATATATAAACAGTAAATACATACTATGCTATTTTCGAAGTTCATATTTTCACGGAACACACTAACAAAACTCCGACTTACACTTCTCTTTAAGTCTCCCATGATGTATGATAGAACTTCAAAAAATGTGTGGAAAAATGGAGGTAAGGTAGAAGTTCATTTCATTACAAAAAAATCTGAAATCTAAGCATAATTTTTCATAATACACATTTCCTATAAACCTTTTGAAGAACCCTTTTTTTTTTTTTTTCGGTTCCAAACACAGAATTTTGAAATTACTTTTGGTCACTGGACAAGGTTTCATCTTGTTTTTGTTTTTGTTGATTTTGCTTCCTACCACTTCAACACTTGACAGCATGTAAGCTCCTAATGATACTGTCTGGAGCACCATACCCACATAAGTTCTGGAGCCCCATTTGGACTGTGGTAACTGTACCACTTTGGATTTGTGACTTGGATGGCTGTCCACACCCAGTTTTTCATCTCATTTCTCATAGCCTCTACTTTCTGCACTTACTCCCACTGTCTTTCTCTTTTTTTTTTTTAAAGAGAGCTTTTTGCTAGAGGGTGCGTGCACTTGCCAGAGAAAGACAGAAAGCAAGAAATTACCCCTCCCCCCCGGGGGGGATGACCATGCTGCAATTTCTTCTTCTCCATTTTCCTCAGGATTTTGGGTGCACACGCACCTGGTGTGAGTTTTAAGCCACCTGAACCACGATCAACTAAGTAGGAGTGCAGCGACATAACCATTATGCTATCTGCTGGTCCCATCATCATCCTTCTTAGGAATGTAAGGTCAGCACGTAGCTAAGGTCAAGGCAGTCGTGATATCTGCTGTAGTAAAAAAATGGGAGTCTGAGGTAATTGTGCCCTAGATATCATTTCATCCAGTCCCTAGCACCAGGTTTCAAACAAAGAGGCATTATTTGCTGAGCCCACTGGAGACGGTATGGAGAATGAATTAGGGAGCAGGTGAATAAGAATGGACACAGGCAGGCTAGCCAAAGGCTCTTACAGTGTTAATGGAAGATGAGAGCTGGGGTCGGATGCTGGTGCAGCAGGAAAACTCCATTGTCTGTGAGGCTGACCCACATGGAAAGGTTCCCACCTGGAGACCTTCCTGAGTATACAGGGCACATGTGTGCTCCTGATCCTACCTGTTGAAGCTGGGTGTGGACCATAGTGGCAGGACTCTGTCAGGTGTACTGTATCTCTGCCTCTGTCTTACTCATTCATGGAATAAACAAGCTCTAAAAAGAAAAGAAAGATGAGAGCTACAAAAGGATGTATGACCAGTTCCAAAGAGACAGTGAATGGAGTTGGTAGTCTAACAAAGAGAGGCACATGTGAAAACATACAGTACAACAATGTGTCACAGTGGCCGTGACACAATTAGGCATGAACTTCAAGGTACACCAAAGGCAGGGTGGGAGAGTCAGGAAAGGGTTCTTGGAGGAAGTGACGCTTGACCTAAAAAAGTGCAATAGAGCATTCCAGAAAGAAGGGAGAGAAGAAATAAAAATATAGGAAAATGAAGTCAATGATCAGAGAATTCCCCGTCATTTAATATGACTGGAGTAAAGGATTTAAGAAGGATGGAAGATCACAGAAACCCTGTTTTCCATTCTAAAGTGTCTAGACTTAATCCTATAGGGCAGGCTATCATGAGATAGCCCTCGAAGGGCTTTAGGAAGGGAAAATAGTTTTGTTTTGTTTTGTTTTGTTTTTGGAGAGGTTTTTGCTATAGGGCGCGTACACTCGCCAGAAAGACAGAGAGAGACAGAGAGACAGAAAGCAAGAAATCATCCCCTGGGGGGATGGCCATGCCGCAATCCCTTCTCCTCCATTCTCCTCTTGGGATTTTGGGCACGCATGCACATGCGCCCGGCGTGAGTTTAAACCACCAGGTCCGGGACTTGAACCGCGGTCGACTACGTGGGAGTCCAGTGACATAGCCATTATGCTAACTGCTGGTCCCAGAGAGAGATTCTTGCTATAAGTGTATTTGTCTGCCAGGGAGACAGAGACAGAGACAGAGAAATTGAGACATCATTCCCAAGGGGGACGACCACACCGAAATCCCTTCTTCTCTATTCCCCTTCTGGGATTTTGGACAAGCATACACATGCACCAATGTGAGTTTCTTTCTTCCTTCATTCCTTCCTTCCTTCCTTCCTTCCTTCCTTCCTTCCTTCCTTTCTTTCTTTCTTTCTTTCTTTCTTTCTTTCTTTCTTTCTCTCTTTAAGAGAGACTTTTGCTATGGTGCATGTGCACTCATCAGAGAGAGAGACAGAAAGTGAGAAATCACTTCCCAGGGGATGGCCATGCTGCAATCACTTCTCCATTCTCTTCTTGGGATTTTGGGCACGTGCACACACAGACACACACACACACACACACGTCCAGTGTGAGTTTAAAGCCACCAGGGCAGGGACTCGAACAGCAGTCGACTACCTGGGAGTCCAGTGATGTAACCATTTCGCCATCTGCTGGTCCCTGGGAAAATAAAGGTTTTTATTTTATAGGAAAAACATCTTCAGCAGCAGTTTAGAGAATAGTTTTGAATAAGGCAAGGAACTCTGCTTGTATGATATAACAACTTGGGCATTTGGTAATTAATTCCATTAACCGTGATACCTATTTCTCAATTAGGAGAGTTCACCAAGGCATTTTAGAAATCACAAGTACTTTTCTTTCTCACTAACATAAAGACATCCAATTAGAATGACAAACAAGGTATTTTCTTTTTGTTTAGGTTTTTGCCATAGTGCATGTGGGCTCACAGGAGAGAGAGAGAGAGAGAGAGAGAGAGAGAGAGAAAGAGAGAAAGAGAGAGAGAGAGAGAAAGTGAGAAATCACCTTGTGGAGGGTGAGAGAGGCCATGGTGCAATCCCTTCTCCTCCATTCTCCTCTTGGGATTTTGGGCCTATGTGCACACATGCCCAGTGTGATTTTCAAGCCTCCAGGTCTGGGGCTCAAACTACAAGTTGCAATGTGGAAATCCAGTGCTTTAATCTTCAGCCACCAGCTTGTCCCAAGGTCTTCTTTTTTTCCCCCAAACTCTATTGTATAAACTTAGTTGTATGCTCTAATAAATAGAGTGAGGTTGACTAGCATTTGGCCTCAGTCCCAGATTCTCAAACAGTGAGAAAAAAACAAAAAAAGGAATATAATATCTATCCAAAATCTAATTGTATGGTTAGGGTTATGGAGAATTTTAAGAATTATGATTTCCCTGGCAATGTATCCAAAAAAATATATCTTCAAAAATTATTCAGAACAGCTATTTGGCATCCAACCACAATGACAGAATGAAAAATGATGAGTACATAGCCTACGTGTAATTCCCATTCCTGACAAAATAAAGGAAGGATGTTTTCTAATGCTCCAGAATGATGTAGTTTATTAAATAATAGCAAGTCATAAAAAAAGCCAAGAGAAAACTTCCCAGCTCACTAAGAAAATGGAATCAATCTACGTTTTTTTTAAATATATATATCCATCCATATATATGTATATATATATATATATATATATATATATATATCCTGTCACGTAGAAGAATGTCTGAGACATGTCTGAGAAGATACGTACCAATACATTCACAGTGGTTATCTCTAGGTAATGGATCAAAGTGTTCTTTATTCTCTTCCTTCTGCCTTTTGGTATTGTCTAATTTTCTATAGTGAGCATGCATTTCTTCTTGAAGGAAAACCAAACATCAAGGAGGCCAACTATAAAATGAAAATGTTGTAGGCCATGACTGAGTGAAAATGGAACTGAATCTCACATGGCCAACCACGTGGTTTAAGTGCCAACCCAGAGGTGTGAAAAACATTCCTGGAACATTTGTGTCCATGCCCCAAATCCTGACATAGGAAGAAATGGAGGAAAAAGGATTGTGTCATGAACACATCTCATTGGGTGGTACTTTCTCCCTGTCTCTGTCTCTCTATGATAAGCATATACGTCCTCTCGTAGATTAAAAAAAAATAGGTCATGTTTTTCAGATTTCTGATTCTGAATTGAGGTAAACTACTGTGCTTTGAGTATAAGCAAAATTTATGTCTTTAAGTCTGATAATCTTCAGGGAATACATTTTTGAATACATAAAATATGTTTGAATATGTTTTGAGATATAAAAACAGTTTTAATTATTCATGTTAGTGAAGGGGAATACTAACACTGACATTCTGAAGCAGCAGGGAACTGAAAACATTATATATACACGTACACATTCGACCAGGCTTTGTACAGCACTGTATGCCATGCAGTATGCTTTAGTAGATGTGCCTCCTGACTTAAATTTTTCCTTGGTTAATATGAGAGGACTTTAAAAACTTTGTGGAGGGACCAGCAGATGGTGTAATGGTTACATTGCTGGACTCCCACATGGCTGACCAGGGTTTGAGTCCCAGACTTGGAGGCTTGCCAAGTGCATGTGTGTGTGCCCAAAATCCTGAGAGGAAAATGGAGAACGGATTGAGGCGTGGCCATCTTCCCTGGGGGGTCATTTCTCACTTTCTATCTCTATATCTTTCTCTGTCTCTCTGGCGAGTGCACGAGCCCTATACAAAAATTGGGGAGGCCACGACCCCTATACAAAAATCTCTCCTAAAAAAAAAAAGAAAGAAAGAAAAAGAAAAGAAACTTTGTGGAAAAATAGAATTAAAGAGTGAATTTAATCTGGTGAAAACATTTTAAAAATTCATGCATGGTTCTTTTATAATACAATTCTCCATGATCTTTCTGAAGACTACTATGTTATAAAATGATTCTATGTTCCCATATGTGGACTGGCAAAAGGACAGAGGTGGTTATGGTAAAAGAAACAGATCTAGGGGCCAGTAAATGGCATGATGGTTAATGTGATGGACTTCCATGCGGCTGACCATGGTTCAAGTCCCAGACCTGGTAGCCTGAAAATCACGCCTGGTATGTGTGTGTGCATGCATGCCCAAAATCCTGGGAAGAGAGTGTAGGAGAAGGGATAGTAGTGTAGCCAATACCCCTGGTGGGAAATTTCTCATTTTCCCTCATACGGTCTCTCTCTGGCAAGCGCATGCACCCTACAGTAAAAACCTAAGGGGAAAAAAAGAAATAGATTTAAATTTCAAAAGTAATTGTATATAATCTGGGGCTAGCAGGTGGTATGGTGGTTAAGGGCACTAGATTCCCACACAGCCAATAGTGGTTCAAGTACTGGACCTGGCGGCCTGCTTTCTAGCTTCTCCCTCTCTCTCTCTCTCTCTCACTCTCTCTGGTCAAATTTAAAAAAAATAATAATTATAATTATAATAACAAATGGAATTAAATAAATAAATAATTCTTTTTTAAAAAAAGTCATTGTATATCATCTATAGACTGTATGGTCTACAGGCAAATGGATAAAATTAGCAAACACTTCTTAATAAGCACAGCCAGATCTAAAATAGGGCATAGAAAATGGAATGCTAATCTCTGCTGTGTCTGGTGCAGTGCAGAGGTAAAGTATGAAGCAAAACACCTGGACTCACAATTATTCACCTTAGCACTTATTTTCAAAACCCAGCTTTTCATAATCAGAAGACACTCTTTTAAAAGTAGCTTCATCTGTAATTATAGTCAGCAAAGTATTTCTGAAGAAATATGAAACACTCTTAAAGGGTCTATCAAATAAACTTGATGTAAAGTATTTCTCCATCTTTTAACATATAGAAAGAGATTTGCAAAGACAGTTGTGTAAATGTGATTTGTCTTAAATTAAGCACATTTTTCCCAACACTATGTGAATTTGGATTATTTAAAGAAGATTTGAATGTATTATTTACAATTTATAGATTATTTTCATTTCCTCTGAAACACAGTAACTTTCATATTGGTTAAGATCTGTGCCATCCTCCTTAGGTACACTCTCGTCTCCAACCACAGAGAGCACAGTTTCTGAAATTTACACCACCATAGAACATTCTAATTATCAGGTACCTTAGTGAGGATAAGTTTTACAAATGTGTCCCACTAATAATTTTCCTCTCCTATCTTTCTCCAACAATGGAGTTCTCATGCTTCTCTGATACTAGGTTCTGAAAGAACACCATCAACATCAGCCTCTGTAGCTGATGCCTCTTTCAATTCCCTGGTTCTGCTTTCAATGTTCAAAAGAATCCATCAGCTATGAAGAAATGCCCTCAGATATGTGGAGGGTAAAAAAAAAAAGACCAAGCAGGGCTGGCCAGAATGGGTAGCAGGTAAGAGCAGGAAAAGGCTGGCTCATTCATGCATTAGTACTTTCATCTCATCAGACACATAGATTGTAGACTTCCTAGTGGGATGCCAGTTTCTGTTGAGTCTAGCGAAGAGGGAAAGGAGTTGTAATTGGAACCAGGCAAGGAGGTAGGGTCTTGCTTTACAGTGCTGAGTTCCAGGGTTAGGCTCCATGAGATTGCTTCTGGAACTGATACCAAGTAACTCATCTGGGGATCACCAATTTCCCAACCAGATTAGTCATTGTTCATTCTTTCATTCCCACACTCTTCATTCAATAAACATTTATTGAGTGATTTCTATTATTTCTGTACAATCCTGTTAAGGCATAGCCTCTGACTTTAGGAGTTTATGGGAATGAGGAGACAGATGTAAAAATAGGTCAATGCAAAAAAAGTGTTAAAGGAGGGCCGGCAGGTGGTGTGGTGGTTAGGGGTGCTGGACTTCCACATGGCTAACTGTGGTTCAAGTTCTGGACCTGACCGCTTGCTTTCTTACTTTCCCTCTCTCACTCTCCCTCTCATTCTGTTCCTGTCTGGTCAAATTAAATAAATAAAGTTCAATAAAATAATTCTTTAAAAAATTATTTTTAAAAAGTGTTAAATGTTATGATAAACTATATATAGGTTTCGTCAAGGGCATAAAGGAGCCTTGATTTCTCTACTTGATGACTCCCACCACTAAATATTACCTACTCAGCTCTCTAACCCCTTCCACGATGCCTTTTGGAATCTGCAACTAGATTCCTCAGTATATGATGGGGGCAAGGGGAAAGGGTCTTCATAAAGATCATGGAAAATGTGTATTATGAAAAAGCTATGTATTTCAAATTTTTTGTACCAATATAAACTCATACTTTTTAAAACTATTATTGCCCAAAGGTGCATATGCTAACTAGAGAGAGACAGACAGAGATAGGGAAAGGGAGAAAACACCCTCCAATGGGACATGGTCACACATCCCTTCTTCATTTCTCCATCCTATTGGAATTTGGGGGAAACATGCACACATATAGAGTGTGTTTTTTCAAGGCACTAGGACCAGGATTTGAACTACAGCTGGCCATGTGAGATCCCGCTCCCTTCACCACTAGGTTATAGGGCTGGCCCTAAACTTGTACTTTGATTTCACTTTCCCATGGGTTCTTTGAAGTACCCTTTTATTTCACTTTGCTGCAAGTTCTCTACGTCTCAGCCCTCAATGTAACCTTGCTTTCTCATACATGTCACTTTCTTCAAAAACTTGTTCAGTGGTGTTTGGCTCTTCCTCTCACTTTCCCTGGCTCACAGGCCAGGAAAATGGCTACACAGCCTCTTGCTCCCCACTAGTACTGTTGATGATTAACACTGTCACTCAACCACTTCATGGAAGAAATGCTTTAAACATGTTTTATACTATCCTTTCTCACTGTTTGGTGAGGGGTGAGGATTCAACCCAAGCCAGAGGAAGTTTTCAACTCAGTGTGATTTTACACTTCCTCATCTCTGGTCTGGATATAGTCACGTACCTGTTTCTCACCTGTGCATCCTTATGAGGTTGGACCCTGGAAAGGAGTTTCTGACTGTGTTCAATAACATGCATTTAACAAGTATTTCTTCCAGGGAAAGTGTATTTGAAAGTAGAAAAATCACAGGGTCAACCCTGTGGCTTAGGAGTAAAGGGAGTCAGATCCCACATGGCAGACCCTGGTTTGAATCCTGGCCTTGATGGCTTGAGAAACACACCAGGTATATGTGCATATGTGTCCTAGATCTAGACAGGATGGGGAAATGGAGAAGGGATTGTGGCATGACCACATTACACTGGGCAGTGCTTTCTCCCTCCCTTGCTCTATCTGTCTCTCTGTGTTGAGTATACAGGCTCTTTGGCAATTAAAAAAAAAAGCAAACAAACAAATAAAAAAAAACAAACAAGTGGATGGATGCCATTCTGCCCTCACTCATCCAGGAGCAACAAGATTAGCAAAGGCCGCCTAGCTTGCAGCAGGGGAGAAGGGGCTACTTTGGGCTTCAAGGAACCCCACCTGGTTCCAGAGATAGAAGGTACAAATGGGAAAATTATAATAATTCAGGGGAGAAGGGTAGCCCCCAACCCAGAATGCACTTGGGGAGAAGGGGCTGCTCTGGCCTTCAGTGACCGCACCAGGTTTCTGGGGTCCTGGAAACAGAAGGAGCAACAGGGAAGCAAAGGCCACCTGGCCTGAGCTGATCAGCAAGGAGACCTGCCCAGCCTATACTGGGGGACGAGGGGTTGCCATAGCCCACAAGTCACACAATGCTAATTAACTGGACTACCATCTTACATTCTCCTGTCCAGCTCAGCCTTCAGCCATACTAGAGGCAAAGATATCTGGGTATACAGGAACCAAACGCCTGAAGACAGTGGATTTTTGAGGAATTCTCTCCCCAGAAGTAATATGAGAGAAACCCCTCTTTGAAAACTTGAACCCCAAACTCCCACTGTGGATTCTACACTCCCACCCACAGTAGAGAAGAGAAGCTGCCACAGAGCTAACTATACCATAGAGAAGTGCATGAGCACACAACTACAGAAACATACTCCAAAGAAGCAAGATGAAGTGAGTATATTACCAGATTACTAAAATTCAAAGCAGCGTCCGAAGAAATAGGAGCAAAACAGGAAATACCTCCTCCCTCAAAGGAACATAATTCCTCACCAATAGTGGATTAAGACACCAGAGATTACAGAAATGTCAGAAAAGGAATTCAGGATATTCACTGTAACAAAACACAGTGAAATGCAAGAGAAAACAGATAACCAGTTCCAGGAGATAAGATCAGAAAATCCTTTCATGACTTGAAGGACTGTCTCTGTAAAGAGACAGACACCCTGAAAAAGAATCAAACAAAACTGGAGATCAAGAATATGATGCAGGAAATCAACACCTCCCTCAAAAGTATCAATAGCAGATTAGATCCCACAGAAGAAAGAATCTCTGATCTTGAAGACAAAACCTCCAATTTAGTCCAAGCAACTGAAAAGAATGACAGAATAACCATTAAAAATGAAGACAATATATGGAGAATCCTAGACACCATTAAATGGCTAAAAAGCTGCATAATAGGTATTTCAGAAGGTGAAGAGACAGATAAGGCATAGAAAAAATCTCTTTCACGATACAGTGACTGAAAACTCTCTAAATTTAGAGAGGCATATGGACATCCAGGAAATACAAAGGGTTCCAAATAGATTTCATATAAGATGATCCTCTCCAAAGTGTATCATACCCAAATTAGTAAAAATTAAAGACAAAGACAATATTCTAAAGATGGCAAGAAAGAATGCCAAGTTACTTACAAAGGTTACTCTATTAGACTAACATTGGATCTCTTAACTGAAACAACACAGACAAGGAAAGAATGGAAAGACTCTGAAAGAAAAGAATCTCAGCCAAGAGTACCATACTCAGCAAGATTTTCAAGTGGGTAAGAGAAAATCATTCCCAGATAAACAAAGGCAAGAGGAATTCTCTGAAAAACAAACAAACAAACAAACAAACAAAAAAACATACTTAAGACCCTATGCTAGAAAAAGTAGAGGGAGAGAAGTAGAAATAAAAGAACACAAATCAATTAGAGAAAAAAAAAAAAGAGTAACAGGGATAAGTATATGTACATTGAGAACAATTGAATCTCAGTGGACTAAATTCCCCAACTAAAGGTCTAAAAATTCAGATTCAACTATTTTGCAACAAGCAGGTTAAAGTACAAATTATTCTATTATTTAATAGTTGCAGCCACAGATTTTATACTGCATTTATATATTTATTATTGTAACCATTATTCATTGTATAAAACTAAGTAACAGAAAAAGTTTAAAATGTTACAAGTAGCTGAGTCTTTCTTTAGAATAAATTTAAACTAAAATCAAGAACCTCAGAAATAACCAAATGACTGATTTTACCATGTCTTTACTTTTTTTTTTTTTAGAGAGAGATTTTTTTCTCTTTCTAATGAGCTATTATTATGTACAATTTCACCTATTTCTGATTGGACTGATGATTTGATACCATAGATCTTTTCAGATTATAAACTCTTATCTCCCACAATCCTCTACACGGAGATTACAAATTCTTCTTTCATTGGCTATATGATCTTTGTTTCCAAAATCCACCCTTATTAATTTTTAAGACTTACTGTTGTTTGATCTTTAATCTTTATTTTTCTTCATAATTATATTTCAGTTAAAGAACATTACTGACAATTCAATATATACTTCCAAAATAACCGGAAGAGCAAATTTCAAATATTCACAACATAATGTAATGTTAAATGGTGAAAGTGGTATGTTTATATCCTCAATTTGTTTATTATACACCAGATACATACTTTTAAAAACATACTGTACTCAACAAAGATGTATGACTATATGTAAATCATTAATTACAATTTTAAAAAAACTTTAAAAAAAAGCAGACAAATGACAGTTCCTACCTCAAAGAGCTTGCAGTCCATGGGATAAATAAATCAAAGGCTTCCAAGTGTGTGCTATGGGAAAAGAATATCACTGAAGTTTAATTCCTTCCTTTGCCTAATTGACTCCTTTTACCATAGGGTCACCTACAGAATCCTTACCCTGCTTACTTTTTTGCTTCGTGACCCTATTTTATCTACTAGTGCAGCTGAGTATTGCTGCAGAAAACAGTGAAACTATTTGATCTAGGCCATTACAAATTAATGTTACACATCCTAGTTTTTATCTTCATGGTTCTGAATAGTTCTTCTAATTCATCTCACCAATCACATTCTCCGTAATGATTTTTTTTAATTTTTGTAATTTTTTATGATAGTACATGTATGCGTATACACATATACAAGAAGCAGAGAGAGAGAGAGAAGTACTCTTCACAGGGTTTCATCACACCACAATCCCTTTTCCCCAGGCCTCTAGTTCTTCAGGATCCTGAGTATCTGCATACCCAGCATGTTTTCAGGCTGACTAGAATTCGAACCCACAGCTGGTGGGTCATCTGACTTCCAGCACTGTAGTCCAGGGCACTATGGACTGTGTCACCTCGCTGGGGCAAGGTGACTTTTCCATTTTTCTGCTCTTCTAAAGCCAGCACCATCGCCCTCTTCCCATCACTATTAGCAGTGGGGATCATATTCGGTTCCCACAACATTCTTCTTCCACAGTTCAGGACTACCTTTTCACTCTATTTTCCCCCTTTCCTCCTGTTTCTAAGGACTCTATCCCTGCCCTTGACCACCCTCACACCTGCTGTGGGAATCTGGGAGGTCATAACATCCATCATTTTTGCGGCTTTTCTCTCTACTGTCCTCACTCTCGCTTTTACTATTTCTCTCTTTTTAAAATTTTAACTGTATGTATGTATGTATGTATGTATGTATGTATGTATTTGACCAGAGAGGAACAGAGCAAGAAAAAGAGAAAGTGAGAACACAAGCCACCAGGTCCGGGACTTGAACCACATTTGGTCATATGGGAGTCCAGTGTCCTTAACCACCATGTTACCTGCCTGCCCCCACTCTTACTCTCTTTAACATCTGCCTAGCAAACTTCAATCTTTCAGTCCACATAAAACAAAAACAAACCCCAATTAATTTAAACCAAAATCCTATTTTTTCTTTTATTTTTTGAGATTGAAAACTTTCTAAGAGTAATTTACGAAATTCAGTTGCCCTCATCGACTTATTACTAATTCTTCATTCCACGCAATTGTTTTTTATTTCCACCATTTTATTTAAATTGCCAGGCAGATCATACAAAAAACATGTTATTTCTCAAACTCCATTGCTTTTTCCATAATCATATTACTAGACATCATCAGTCATTCCCTTATCTTGACATTGGCTCCTTAGACATTCCTTAGCTTGAGAACATTTTCTGCTACCTCTCTTTTCCATGCCTCTTTCGTGTCTCTTCTATCTTTTCCTAAGTTATAAGAGCTGCTCACTACATATCAGATGTTAAAACCTTTCTGAGTGCCTGTCTCCAGTAGGCAAGGCACTGTGCTGTACAGACACAACAGCCTTTAAGAAGGGCTAACCAAGCAGACTGGTACTAGGGTTTGGGCACCCAGAGCAGAGCTCAGGTACAGAACAAAAGTGTAACTCCAGGTCTTTAGACAACACCAAAATTTAAGTCAGGAGAACAAATTCAGCTGACAAGATGAAACAGAGGAATAAGAGTCCAACAGGAGATGATCAAAGGTAACAAATAGAGAAAGAGTTAGAACAAGGAAAGAGGGTGCTTGCCAGGTGTGCTATGAATGAAATTGAGGTCATCAGATTGGCTTAAGAACAAAGTCAAAGAAGATAACAGAAAGCAAAACAGAGTACTTGTTCTCATACTATGCTTACAAGTCTCAGTTTCCTTCTGTGAAACGTGGAGAATAGCAGTACTTGCCTCATAGAGTAACTGAGGATAAATTAAAACAGTGTAGGGCCTGACAAGTAGCAGGTATTAATTATGATCACTATTCTTTTTTTTTTTTTTTTTTTGGAGGATTTTGCTATAGGGTGTATACGCTCACCAGAAAGATAGTCAGAGAGATAGAAAGCAAGAAATCACCCACCAGGGAGGATGGCCACGCCACAATTCCCTCTCCTCCATTCTCCTCTCGAGATCTTGAGCATGCATGCATGCACACTCACCTGGTGTGAAATTAAGCCACAAGGTCCGGGACTCAAACCATGGTAGACTACATGGGAGTCCAGCAACATAGCCATCACACCAACTGCTGGTCCCTATGACCTCTATTCTGTCCTCCAGGTCCAGCTTCAGTGGCATATTTGGTAATCTACTGAATTGCAATGCAGGAAGCCACATGGCTGACCATGGGTTTGGATCCCTTGTCAGCCTGAAAACAAGTTCATACCCAAGGTCTGGATGAGCAGGAGGGACTGGTGAGTGGGATTATGGCATGATGAGACTGTAAAGGGTGCTTCTTGCTCTCATCAATAAAATAAATTTCTATTCTCCAAACTATATAATATAAATAAAGCTTAAGCAAACATTAAACCATTGTAGTATGAAATCTAATTTAATTCTTTCAACTCTTTAGCATACTCAAAATGCCCTGCACTAGTTAATGCTGTAACAAATTTTTTAACATAGCATCTAAATGTGTGTGTACTGCTCAAAATAAGGTGCTTTTTCTCCTTTCTGCACTATTAAAATAACTGCCTGCACACTGATCAACAGTTATTTTACGGGCTTTGTAATAATTTTTAAGCTACTTTGGAACTACTTTCTAACCTCTCAATACTTTCTTGCCTTTCTAAAATATCATTTTGGTTTGGTTTCCCTCCTACTTCTCTGATCAGTTCTTCATTGTCTCCAAGGCAGGCTCTCCTTCGTTTTCAATTCTAGTATCTCTGACTCATGCCTACTTATTCCTACTTCCAAAGCCTTTCTAGAGTCAGCCCCATAGGACAGTAGTTATGCACTGGGCAGAGGATGCTGGATCTCACAGTGCTGACCAGGGCTCAAGTTCTAGCCTTAGCACCTTGAAAAACATACCAGTCACATGCATGCCCATGTCCAAGGTCCTGATGGGTTGGGAGATTTGGTGAAAAAATTATTATAGCATGACTAGGTCCTTTTGGGAGATGTTTTCTCTCTTTCTCTCTAGTTTTCATATGCACAAGCCCCCTGGGAATTAAAATTTTTTTTAAAAAGTCATGAAGTCTTCCAAATATGCTTTACTGCCTTCGTTTGCACCTTTACAATCTCTGACTTGGACTACTGCAATAGCTTAAATGATATCTTTGTTCTTATTTTCTACCAATCCCAGTCTATCCCTCATGCCACGAGAATAAATTTTTTAAAAGTAACATTTATGAAAAGACCTCCATTATCTCCAGTTGCCTACAAGAGAAAAGTCCCCAACTCAACAAATCACATAAGGCCATTCATTTTGACCCCAACCAGTCCCTCCAATATCTCCTCTTGCTCCACCAGCTAATCCCAAACTCCAGCCACAAGGAAATGTTCTCTACTTTTCGGATTACAACATACCCTTTTGCAAATTCCTGCCTTTCTATGCTTCCTTTTCTTTGATTGCCATTTTCCCCTGTTCTCAACTACTTCCTGGCCTTATTATATAACTACTATACTGCCTTTTAAATATCTGCTTACGTTTATTCCCCCAGAAAAACGTCAGCATCTCAAGTATAAGGAAATGCCTTTTTTCTCTATAGTTCCAGAATTTAGCACTAAGCAAATGTGCAACAAACTCATATTCAAGGCCTGAACTGTGAGCAATAATAAATAAATAAACTTTTTTTTTAAGATAATAAACTTTATTATATGAACTTTCATAGACTTTATTTTTCACTTTTTGGAGAGGTTTTTGCTATAGGGCGCATGTGCTCACCAGAAAGACAGAGAGAGACAGAGAGACAGAAAGCGAGAAATCACCCCTGGGGGGGATGGCCACGCCACAATCCCTTCTCCATTCTCCTCTCAGGATCTTGGGCACACACGCACAAGTGCCCGGCGTGAGTTTAAGCCACCAGGGTTTGGGACTCGATCCGCGGTCGACTACATGGGAGTCCAGCGACATAGCCGTTACACTAACTGCTGGTCCCTGAAAAATACATATATTTTTTAAGTTGTAGCTTAAAATTTTCTTTTGGAATGGAATTGAAAGAAAAAATGCAAATGAAACCTTCAAGCTGAAATCTAAAGGTAAACATATATTTTGAAGTACCAGAAGACACGTTAAGGACAGCAGTGCAGTATATTTAACATCTGGTCTATGGTCATTCCACCCTGAACATGCTGGATCTCCCCTGTTCTAGGAAGGCAGAATTGGGCCTAGGTAGTACTTGGATGGGAGAATACTTAACATTTGGATTATCCTAGAAGTTTAGAGTTGCATGACCATGGCAGTGGGTATACCTAACATATATGACCTCATCATTTCCCTCTCTAAAATCTTTCAATGGCTTCTTACAAAGCCTCATCTTAATCTGGCCTATAAGAGCCTGCATAAAAAACTTGCCTTCCATCTACTTACAATCTCATTTTACCCTATTCTCTACCCCATTCTCTGAATTTTAACCAGACAGGTCTTGAGATCGTTTTTTGTTGTTGCTGGGTTGTTCTGCAAACACAGGTCTGCCACGGATATTCTTCTATATGCCCCACTACCCCAAATAAGTTTGCTCTTATTCTTTGGCTATCAGCCCAAGGATTCCTTAAATTGTCTCCATTTTAAGGTGGCAGAGCATAAGGTCATTTTATCACAGTGGATTTGAAGGCAATGCGGTATAGTATTATGACCATGAATTATGGATGCAGGCTTGGTCCTTAGGCACACAGTGTTTATCTAACTCTCTAGTTCTTGGTTTCCTTACCTATAAAATGGAGTCATAGTAGTATCTACCTCATAAGGTTATTTGAAAGATTAAAGAAGTTAATTCATGTAAAGCACTTAGAAGTATATCGATGTTGTCCCATTAGCTCCCTAAGTCTGTCATGATCACATCTGCTTAATTTGCTGTCACTTCTCCACTCCTCTGAACCCTGTAATACCCCTTCCCAGCAGCAGAGACAGCGCCGGTCAGATCCTTTTTTTGTACCCTTAGCCTCAGCGCCGGGTTCTTGAAACAGAAGGCCTTCAATAGATGATTTTTAAAAAGAATAAACCAGCAAAAGGTCTGTGTCCCATGTTTCCCCTTTCACTGAACGATCTCAGGTAAATCACTCAGTCCACCTTGTCCTCGTTTACCCTTCTGTGAAACGTAATACCTACCATAAAGAGACTTTGTGTTAAATAAGGCAGAGTATTTACAAAAGCACACTGCGCATCTTAAAATGCCTTACGAACAGATGTTTATTAATAAAGCGGAGACCGCGTCCGCCCTCCCCTCCGGCACGTCTCGCCCCAACCCTGCCCTCCTGGCCCACACCCTTACTGCGCCCTTGGCCCTCGGTCCCTCGGGATCTCAGGCGTGGGAGCCCCGGCACAGCTCGGCTCCCTCCCGGCGCCCCGCGCCCGTCTTCCTTCCTCGTCCGGACGGACGCACTTCCGGCGGATGTGGGGGGGTGACCTCCGGAAACGGAAGTGAGTGGCGGGACCGGCTGACGGTAACAGGGCTGAGAGGCTGGTGGCAGAGCGTGCTAAAGATGGTAAGTGAACCCCCTGGCCGCCCGAATTTCAGGCGGCCTAGTGACCATGGCCCGACAGGAGTAGTCCGCCACCTCGTTGCCGGTTCCCAGGTGGCGGTGGTGGGACGGCGTGGGGATGAGGCTGGCCTCAGGCGCCATGTTCTGTCGAGTCACGGGATTGGAGCCTGTCTCCGGGGCTCGGCTCCGGCTCTAGCGGTTCGGCCGTAGTCAGCTCCTCCTCGTCTTCCTCTTCTCTCGGCTCGCGCCCTGTCGCGCTCAGTTCCCCTGTTGGCGCTGCTGAGAGCAAACCCGATACTTCACCGTTCTGTAGACTGGCTCCGTCGACTCGGTTTTTCCCTCTTGGAGCCCAGAGCGCTGAAACGCCTCTCCCAGTTTCGGTCCTTTTAACTGCGTGATCAGCAACCCAAAAACGAAGGTCTCATTTGTATCAGTCAACTTTATTTTTTGAGAGCTTGGAGTATGCCAGGTGTTACGGAGGGGGTAAAATCAGACAGTTGCTACTCCTCTCTGCCTTTCCCTTCCTTCCTTTCCCCCAACCCTTTCTCTTTCACTTCAGAGTTATTATAGGATATTTGGGAAGACTGCCAAGTCATCATTGCCAGTGACTCTGATAGGTCATTTCTGCCCGGAGGCCATCCATCCAGATCTAGAAAGCTTCCATTGGTAAATACTGCTGCTCATTGGAATGAAGTTTTATAAACACTCTAAAATGCAATGAGTGATTAGGTTTCCTTAAACTCGTTTCTCTCTGCCACTTTATTAGAGACATTAAGTTATGATTCTGCTATTTTACAGAAGGAAATTGGGAAAAATGACTATAACAAGAGTACCTACAGATTACAGTAGTCTATTTCTTTATGCATAGAGGAAACTTTTCCTCTGTCACTTTTCAGTACAAATCTGGCAGGAAAGATTGTGTTCCTGTGTGAAAGTAACAAGATATATTTGGAAAGTTGCCATCATACAACTCTAGTCTCAGCTACCTGATGGAAATGAGTGAATCAGCTGAAAAGGTGGTGTGCTTTGCTATCAGTGGCCAAGTAGGTTGGTGACAGTCTACACTGGATAAGATACTTTTCCTGATTCACAATGACTTCTCGTAGAGGAGTTGCACTCTGTTGTACCGCTTCTTGAATTTTAAGCTAAGGACTCTGTTGTACCACTTCTTGAATTTTAAGCTAAGGACTCTGGATGTTATTCTTCATGCATTGATGAACCAGTGGAAAGTTTCGTTGCACTTTGGTGAGAGAGTTTGTTTTAGGAAAACCTCAATATACAGCATTGGAAAATGAGTGTGTGTAAGGCAGTGAGGCCCAGTAGAATGCTATAGGAGTTTTCCAGTAGTGAGAACCTATATCACAGGGTAGAGTGAAGAAATCACACATTAGATATACTAATGAGTTAAAAAATCAATAAAAAAGCTTGTTTCTCAGAATAGTTTCATGTAGACTAATAAAAGATTAAATACCAAACCATCTGTAACTGTTTTACATTTTTCTGTAGAATTGCAGGGATATTGTACATGAGCAACAGGTGATTTAACATCAACATCTTGGGCTTTACCAGTTGCAATACATACTGCGTTTTATATGCTTGTTTAATAAGATTAAGCCCTGGGAGGTAGACTTGTATTTTCAGCACTTAGCAGAATATCCGACATTATAGGTGCTTAATAAATATTTGGTGATTGAAAGCTTCATCAAAAAATGCGTAGGGCCTTTTGCTTCGTTGCCCCGCTAAAGCAGGATGGGTCATCAGCAGCTCTCCTGGAGCCACCTGCGACAGTTCGGCCAGGGCTCTCGCTCTTACCACGTGTGCTTGTACCGGCATGGCCTGATTCAGAAATACGGCCTCAACATGTGCCGTCATTGTTTCCGTCAGTATTCGAAGGACTTAGGCTTCATCAAGTTGGACTAAATGATCTTCCTTGAATGGCTTGTCCAAGACATAAACCCAGTGAAAGAAATCATGCTGGCTATTTGTATATAAAATAAAATAAATAAAACCCTTCAATTTAAAAAAAAATGCGTAGGGTGACAATATGTCAGTACTGAATCTTTTTGATTTTTGTTTGTTTTACACAATCTTATTAGACACATTTATTTTCTATAGGTAATTCCTGCCTCTTATGGAAGCCAAACACTTTATGGAATTTTCTTGTTTTCTTAGCTTCTGGACCGCACTTTTAGTTATGCGGTTTGTTCTTAACCCCATTTCTTTATTTTTCATCCTTAAGGAATGCCATTCCACAGGATTCTGTTCTTAACTTTTTCATTCTGTGTTAAACATTCCAACCTAAGGATAAAATCTTTCTGGTGAAAGCAAATCTGCTGTAAACCTTCAGAGGCTCTCTATCAATTTCAGAATAAAACCCAGTTTCTTTGCATACATGTGTCACATTTTTTTTTTCATTTTACCAGTCTTCTGCCTTACTCATATATGTCTTTAGCCAATCATCTCAAACTACTTGCAGCTTGTTCATTTCTTTTTCTTTTTTCTTTTGGTTTTGCCGTAGGGCATGTGCATTCACCAGAGAAAGAGAAAAAGAGGAAAACTGAGAAATCACTTCCCCCATGCTGCAGTCTCTTCTCTGTCCTTCTCTTGGGAATTTGGGCATGCACACACACGCACCTGGTGTGATCTTAAAGCCAATGGGTCTAGGACTCGAACTGTGCAGTCATGTGGGATCCAACTGTCTTAACTACCACACCAATTGCTGTCTCTCACTTATGTTTTTATACTTTTATCCACATTATTTCTTTTGTTTTAGAATGCCTTTTAATCTGGCAGCATTCAGAGATCAGCTCAAGAATCATTTCTACCCTCAAATTTGGTATTACTCATTTTATCATGTATGTCCCTCTATCATAATGCTTATGTTGTAATTGTCCAGACTGTAAGCTCTTTGAAAGCAGTGACCTTATTTTTTCTTCTGCGTAAAAATCATTTTACATAGGTGTCCAGTGTCTGTGTGTTTAAGTTTTTTTCATAGTGTTTTTTTTTATTCATGTTGTAGAATGCCAGAGGACTTGGATCTCAGCTAAAAGACAGTATTCCAATTACTGAACTTTCAGCAAGTGGACCTTTTGAAAGTCATGATCTTCTTCGGAAAGGGTATGTAGGCAAGGTGTGACTTAGACTTTGTTATAATAAAATATTTCTGTGGATTATTTTTTATGGTATTTAAATATTTTGATAGGCTATATATGTATATTTATTTTGGAAGATTAAAATAATATACCTTAGGAAGTAGAAAATAGGTATTTTCTATAGTGGAAGAAACTTAGTTACTTAGAGATCCTTTAAAGTATGCAAGAAGGGGGCTGAGTCGTGGCATAGCATTAAAATACAGTACTCTTTAAGGCTGACTCACATAGCAGAGTGCCAGGTTTGAGTTTGGAGACCTGAATATGCCAGGCACTTGTATATCCATGATCCAGCACTAGTTAAGGCTGAGGGTAGATCACAGCATTAAGACCGTCTTGGGGTTGCTGTCTCTGTGTGGCTCTTTTCTGGTGCTCATACAAGAAATAAACTTTGAAAACATTTTTTTAAATAAAGTTTACAGAAAGATATGCATAGAATATGCAAATACTGTGCCATTTATATTAGATTTTGGTAACATGGGGGAGAGGGGCTTGAAACCAGTGTTCATGGATAATCAGAAATTGAGGAATGACTTTATATATTTTATTTTGAAGAATAAACAAACACTTGAAAAATACTTAAAACAGTACCTGAAATTAGCAAGCTATCAGTCACACCTACTGCTATCATTTTTCTTTTCTAACTTTGACACATAGCTGTGCCCCTTTCTGCAGTTTCCTTTGTGTCTCTGTACATTTAGGTACTAGGTTCTGGAACTAATAAGTTTTATATGAAAAGATCCAAAGGTGCCTTTGGAATTGAAGGCCTAATTCGATTTGTAGTATAATCAAATTGATTGCTACCCAGTTGCCAAGTCCTGTGTTTGTTATTTTTTTTTTCTCCACATAATCTTTTATTCCCCCCATTTCTTCCTGGTTGTCTGTAAGGTACCAAGAGCAGTATCATTTTCCGATCCTGCTTCTTGGATAATACTCTGTACAAAGACAATATTCAATAAATAATTCTCACAGTAATACTGTGGCTTCTTTCAGCATTAAAATCCTGGTTTGGACAGTAAGATTTTTATATATAGAGAGGGATAAAGTCTAGTGGTTTGATTTTAGCTGTTGCACATAGTAGGCATTCAGTAAATGCTAAGCATTGTTCAACATATATTTATTAAAGATGCATTAAGTATTAAATATGTGTTAGATCTGAAAAGAAGAGGCTTAAGTATTTTTCTTTTTTTTGGAGAGGTTTTTGCTATAGGGTGCGTGCGCTCACCAGAAAGACAGAGAGAGACGGAGAGAAAGAAAGCGAGAAATCAGCCCCCTGGGGGGATGGCCATGCCACAAACCTTTTTCTTCCATTCTTCTCTCAGGATCGTGCGCATGCACGCATGCACACATGCACATGCGTCCAGCGTGAGTTTAAGCCACCAGTTCTGGGACTTGAACCACGGCCGACTACATGGGAGTCCAGCAACATAGCCATTACGCCAACTGCTGGTCCCAAGGCTTAAGTATTTTATTATTGCAAGAAGCAGCTTAGCAGAGAAATAGCAATAAACATTTATTAAATTTCTTCTAGATGTAGAACATTATTTAGCACCAGTTTTGGGAGAGTTCTCCTTTGTGATTGAAGGCTCGACCCCTAACCTCTATAGTAGATAAATTTTTTTAAATTCTCATATGGTACATTGTTTTTTTTTTTCCCTCGTGGATGTATAGTTTCATGAATTTTAATACACATATCAATTCTTATAATTATCACCACAGTCGAGATACAGAATAGTTGTATTACCCCCCCAAAAAACCTCTCTTACACTATCTCACTATAGTCATATCCTTAATAGATGTGATTTTGAGCTGTGGGTATTGAGTGATATTTAATATTCCCTTTTTTTTTTATAGTTTTTCTTGTGTGAAAAATGAACTTTTGCCCAGTCATCCCCTTGAATTATCAGAAAAAAATGTAAGTATGTTATCTATGTCTTTATTTTTATCCTCTTATAGAAAAACAGTCTCATTTTATTAAAATAATTCTGGTACTGAGGATTTGACCATGAGACCATGTTTTCAATTTCATGGTAGACTTTCAAATCATCCTTCTGTTCCACTGAAGCTTTCTTTCTGTACATCTTTTTTCTCTTTCCAGTGGATATCTTTCCTCTTTCTTACTCTCATAAAAATTTTCTCTCTTGTTAATTCTATTTTCTTACATATTTTTCCCCTGCCATTTTTCCTATCAATCTCCAAGTCTGAAACTCTAGCCTTGACTTTTTTCTAAGCCCTGCGTCTCCAAGTTACAGAGAGACATGTCCATTAGTTACAGTAAGTATGTCGATGAATTTGATGTAATCACTACCTTTAAGGAACTTAAAGGTTAATGGGGAAAATAAGCAGTTTTGCTGAAACCAAGGATGGGGCAACTATCTATGCTTCTTTGGGCTTTTGGAAGACTTTGCAGAGGAGGAGGGAATAGCTTTTAAGCCAACATTCAGCAGGTAAATAGACAGGTGAATGTTAATCCCAAGATGGGATGACATGTGCAGATCTTCAAAAGGCTATCAAAAAAGTTATTAAATATACATTTAGAGCAGGAAGAAAGAGGTATCTTCTTGAGGAAAGGGATCGAGTGTCACCCAGGTAACAGAAAGCTGATTCGTTTCTTTTTCCTCCTCACTTTCTTTGTTCCTTTTTAGCAAGAGAAAAGGATCTTTATGTAAGAAAGAGTAGCTCAGACAATGTCATTGTAAAATTGGAGTTTACTAAAATGTACATTCAGGTTTCAGGCTTAGAAGTTGACAGCCTAGAGTAGACTTAAAAGCGTTTGGGTATGATTCCAAAACAGTTGATCATCTTTGAGAAATAATGGGAGATGTGAAAATGAAGACTAAAGGTGAATAGTCTACATTTCTAAAAGGAATAGTCCACTCTTCTAAAAGGAACCTAACTAAAAAATCCAGGTGATCTTTGGACACATTCATCCCTGGTTCTATTCTTAAGTAGACTAATCAAGTAGATGGCTCTGAATATTTAGTAAAGTTAAGTGGTGATCATCAGGAACTTAATAAGCTCAACAAATTAATCTTAGTTCTCATTTTAAGTTACCAGGTGACTCCAGGGGTCAAATTATATGACAAGTGATAAGCTTGAGATTATAGTGGATTATGGACCAACTAAAAGAGAGTAGATTGATTGTGGCTGGTAACTATACCCAGGGATCAGTGATTAAGGAGTTGTCAATCTACAGGAAATTGTTTTCAGTCAGGGTTTTGGGCAGTCTTGGGCTTCTACTTATGTAGTGAGGTGAACAATTAGAATAATGAAGCGTTTTTTTGTTTGTTTGTTTGTTTTTTCCCAAAGACTTGAGGGTAACCATTAAAGTCAGGTAAATTTTGAGTTTTTGGAAGAAAGCTGGTAAGGATGGCTCATTTTGATGAATAATTAACTGTTGATATATCATATGACAAAATAGACCAGAAGCATAGGCCAAAACTTAGCCTCTTTATGTACATGATTGCTAATTTATGTTTTGATTTATTATTGCAGTTTTTACATAACATTACAAAGTTGGTGTATTCATCATTTTATATAAGTTGAATTTTAATATACACAAAATTATATTTGATGGTAGAAAAGGAAAATCTTACCAAGAAAGAATAGCATAGTAAAATGTAATCACAAGAAGTTGGGGGACCGGCAGGTGGCGTAGTGGTTTGGTTAAAGGTGCTGGACTCCCATGTGGCTGGCTGCAGTTTGAGTCCTGGACCAGGTGGCTTGCTTTCTTGCCCCCCCCTCACCCCCTTTTCTTTGTTGCTCTCTGATCAAACTGGAAAATAATAATAAATAAAGTTAGGGCCATGAGGTGGTGTGGTGGTTAAGGGTGTTGGATTCCAGCATGGCTGACCACAGTTCAAGTCCTGGACTTGGCAGTTTGCTTTCTCATTTTCCCCTTCTCTCTCTCTCTCTGTCTCTGTCTCTGGTCAAATTTAAAAAGAAATAATAATAACAAATAGAATTAAATAAATAATTCTTTTTAAAAATAATAAAGTTAAATAAAATAATTCTTTAAAAAATAAATGAAGAAGTTGGATTATTCCATTATAATTGTCTTAGCTCAGACAGATCTTCGTAGCAGTCTGCATGTCATATTCATTATCCTTAAGAGCTCTTGGGAGATAGGGGCCAGCAGGTAGCATGGTGGTTAAGGCACTGGACTCCCACATGGCTGACTGCAGTTCAAGTTCTGCAGTTCAAGTTTCAGATCTAGTGTCTCTCTCTTTCTCTCCTCTACTTCTTCCCTTCCCTTCCCTCCCTCCTCTCTGTCTCTCTCTATCTCTGTCTGGTGAGCACACATGTCCTTGAGCAAATTAAAAATATAATAATAATAAATAAAATTTTTTTTAAAAAAGCTCTTTGGAGAAACTATTTTGGAATTTGACTCAAGTTGATACATTTTGCCCAAAATACATTAGATTATGATTGAAGTTTCTTAAAAATAATAGTAGTTCTTAGTAAAAGTATGATTCTAAGGGGGAAAAAAGCTGATTAGTATCCAGTTCAAGTTGAATAGACTTTTCGGTTCAGGAGTTCCCCTGCACCTGACTCAATTATCCAGAAAAGCAGAGTTTAAACATGTTAGTTTAATTAGCAACATGGTACAATGATCCAGTTATTTCTTGTATGAAATCTGTTGAACTACATACTTTCACACTTAGAAATTCACTGTTAAATTTTCATGGTGTATGTGATATTTTCTAGTTCTCAAATTATATCTTCTTTCTCTGTTGGATAATTATACCTTGTAAATAAAGTTTTGCAATATGAAAAACATTTCTTAATTTTGTAAATACAAAATTTAGGTGATAATTTTACAGTGGTAAAGTACACCTGCATGCTGGATAAAAATGCAGACATGTATGTCCTAAAATTTTTTTTTTTTTTTTGGAGAGGTTTTTTTGCTATAGGGCATGTGCACTTGCCTGACAGAGAGACAGAAAGCCAGAAATCACCCCCTAGGGTGGATGGCCACACCACAGTCCCTTCTCCTCTGTTCTCCTTTCGGGATCTTGGGCATGCATACACACGTGCCCGGCGTGAATTTTAAGCCACTGGGTCCAGGATGCAAACCACGGTCGACTACATGGGAGTCCAGCGACATAGCCATTACGCTAACTGCTGGTCTCTGTATGTCCTAAAATTTATCAGTGGAAATTAGCAGACACTTTGTTCTTATTTCGGTTATGGATATTAAAATCCTTCACCTGAGTTCAGCTGTGGCAGTGTATGCTGGTAGATGCTACTACCCTTATGGCTGAGGCCACATGGGAGGTGCAGGTTCAATTTCCTGTCTAGTCTAAAAGCCAGGTGTGTTGGTTCATGCTTGTAGTTTCAGCTTCTTGGGAGATTGAGGCAAGAGGATCATAGGAAGACCAGGTCAAAAAAAGAAAAATTTCTCATCTATGTGTGCTATTATATATGTATTACTTTGTTTTGAATATTGAATGTAACAATTTGAATGAAATTGTCTTTTGTAGTTCCAGCTCAACCAAGATAAGATGAATTTTTCCACACTGAGAAACATCCAGGGTCTGTTTGCTCCACTAAAATTACAAATGGAATTCAAGGCAGTACAGCAGGTGAGTTTATAGAGCTCAGTGATGTGTGTATCCCACCTGTGCTATCAGTCATATGGACTCATATGTCTTCATAACAGGTATTCATAGCTTCGTTCTCTGCTCCCTTGCTACCTATCATGCTTTCTCCTTTTTGTAATATGACTTTGACTCCTGCTTCATTGAGGGAAAACGTCTAAATAGAAAACATCATGAAATTATAGGCTCAGTGTCTGAACACATATGAATATCGTCTTTCATATTTTTCTACTTTTCATTGGTTACATTGCATTTGAGATGCCTCTAAGTATCCAAATGGAGGTTTCAGAATACAATTTGGAGATAGTTGGGTATGCTATTGCTAAGGAAGAAGTGGTCAGAAAATGTCCTATGGAGTGGGGAAGAGCTGCCATCTACTTGGGCTCTTGATTCTGTCACGTTGCACTACTTCAACAAGTGCCCTTTATCAGTGATCTTTTCTATAGTGATAGCTTCAACTTCTCTCTCTTTACTTGTCCTCTCTCATCAGTAGCATTTACACATAACTGAACCTCTTTTGTCTTTTAAAACAAAACAAAAATCTTATCAATTCCAAATCCCTTTATAACACCTTCTCTCTCTTTGCTTTTGTGGGATGAACTTCTTTAAAAAATTGCCTATGGGACCAGCAGAATGTGTAATGGTTACGTTGCTGAACTGCCACGTAGTCGACCCCAGTTCGAGTCCTGGACCCAGTGGCTTAAAACTCACACTGGACATGTGTATGCGTGCCCAAGATCCCAGGAGGAGAATGGAGAAGGGATTTCAGTATGACCATTCCCCTTGGGGGGTGATATCTCACTTTCTGTCTCTCTGGTTAGCATACATTCCTTATAGCAGAAGTCTCTCTTAAAAAAAGAATTGCTTATGTTTGCTCTATACATACTCCTTTTTTTTTTTTGCTCTTTGTGTAGTTTACCACACCACACCAAAGAAATTGCTCCTGAATAATATGGACCTATTCCCCCCTGCCCTGCTTTTTAAAAAATTGTTTTTATTTAACTTTATTTATTTATTTTAATTTGACCAGAGAGGGACAGTGAGAGAGAGAAAGAGAGAAGGAAAGTGAGAAAGCAAGCCACCAGGTCCGGGACTCAAACCACGGTCAGCCATGTAGGAGTCCAGCACCTTTAAACACCATGCCATCTGCCGGCCCCTATTTTCCCCCTTTTTTAAACCTCATTTTACTATCTGTCTATAATATTTGAAATTAATATGCTCCTTCCTTTTTCCCTCGGCCTTTTATTTTAATTTTTTTTGGCCATAGGGTGTGTGCATTCATATGTTGATAAATCCCAAGTTCTGATTCCTTTTTTTTTATTTGCTATAGGGCATGTGCACTCACCAGAGAGACAGAAAATGATAAACCACCCCCCGGGGGGATGGCCATGCTGCAATCCCTTTTTCTCCATTCTTTGACCAGAGAGGGACAGTGAGAGAGAGAAAGAGAGAAGGAAAGTGAGAAAGCAAGCCACCAGGTCCGGGACTCAAACCACGGTCAGCCATGTAGGAGTCCAGCACCTTTAAACACCATGCCATCTGCCGGCCCCTATTTTCCCCCTTTTTTAAACCTCATTTTACTATCTGTCTATAATATTTGAAATTAATATGCTCCTTCCTTTTTCCCTCGGCCTTTTATTTTAATTTTTTTTGGCCATAGGGTGTGTGCATTCATATGTTGATAAATCCCAAGTTCTGATTCCTTTTTTTTTATTTGCTATAGGGCATGTGCACTCACCAGAGAGACAGAAAATGATAAACCACCCCCCGGGGGGATGGCCATGCTGCAATCCCTTTTTCTCCATTCTCCTCTTAGGATTTTGGGTACTCACAAACAAACACCCAGTGTGAGTTTTAAGCTGTTGGGTCTGGGATTCGAACCAGGTCAACTATGTGGGAGTCCAGCGATGTAACCATTATTGCTATCTACTGGTCCTGCAAGTTATAATTTATTTAACTTTAATTTGACGGGAGAGAGAGAAAGAAAGTGAGGAAGCAAGCTGCCAGGTCCAGGACTCAAATCGTGGTCGGCCATATGGGAATCCAGTACCATTATCTACCACGTTGACTGTCTGCCCCCCGAGTTATAATTCTTATCAGCTGTAAACCTTCTAGGCTTTTCTAATTGGAAGCCCTACAAGCACTTCAAATTGCACGTGTACAAGTAGAAAATAACTGATTATTCCTCACATGTTACCTATATACGAGTTAAGTTTTTATCTAAGGCAGAAATTGGTGCATTAAACTTGGTATCTTTACTCAGTATCTCATCTTCAACATCTTTCCTCTCCTGTGAGCATCCATCTAGTACTTGATTATCTTACCATTGCTACTTCATTGTTTTTAGACCCTGTAGAGCTTCATCTTGATTTTTGCTGCCCCCACATATTCATATTCTAGTCAGAATAATCTTGGTAAAACACAAATTTAATCATGTCACTCCCCTTTCTTTGCCCTCAAATGAACACTCACGTCCTTAACATGGTTCTGTTCATGAATTAGTTTCTCTTTGTTTCCCACAATATTACATACCCTTCTAAGCTACTCGCAGTTTCCTGGTTAATTATGTTCCTTCACATTTTAGCTGTGCACTTATTTTTCTACTAGTGTGGATTCTTTTCTTTGACCTATCTAAAACTGTGTCTTTTTCAATAAGTTTTATTAATGCCGTCAGTTGTATGGCTTAGTCATTCTGGAAGCTACTTTGAGTACTTCTTTCCAAGAATAAAACTCTGAAAAAGAACTTTATGTCAGAATAACCTGAGTCTGAATCTCTGCTCTGTCATCTACTAGCCTCAAATACTTAAGTTAGAAGTAATCTGATTTTTTTTCATTGTTTTTAGTATGAAATGGGGAGAGCAGTTAGAACAGCAGAGTTATTTTGAAGGTTAAGTGAAATAACATATTTGGCACAGAATTTGTTGTTACTCAGATATCAGTTACATATTGCTCATAGTTTGCCCCTAAGTTTTTAAAAATCTTTACCCAAAATTTTGCTTTTTTCCTCGATCCTTATATTTTTGCAGTTTTCACTTGTCAAGATGTG